TGTTTTTTTTAACAATAAATGCTCATTAACTTAACTCATACAGTATGTTAAGGTTATTTACAGATGATCAACATTATTCCACTGCATTAATTCAAGGTCTATGTCACATGTCTAGCTTGTGGGTGGTTCATCCAATAAAGCTTAATATGTGCAGCACAGAGCCTAATACAAGGAAGAATCTCTGCTGTGAGGTTCTCTGGAGGAATTAAGATACCTGAAACAGCAGACAATATTTTTTACCTCCGACACAGCAGTGCTGTATAATAAAATAAAACCTCTGAAGTTATAGAAGAAAAAAATAAATTAAAAAAAGGTACAGAGACTAGCAGAATACATTGTAGCCATGCTCATGCTGTCCTCCACGCTCGAGCAGAAGACATTTGGATTTGGAGACGTATTATTGCAAAGGCAGATTTCGTGTTCCCTACTTTTCCAAAGCAACATCTTGTGAATTTTTAAAACCACTTACCAGGTCATTGCTATAGACTTCTGTCCTTCGTTTTATTCAAAACTGTTTCTGAATTAAGTAGAGGACATTTAGCCTCGGTGCAGTTTGGTATTTCTTAGATCATTAGGTGTGAGCTGTCAGTTTGCCTTTTTATTCATCCTTTTTTCCATGTATGCAAATGTACAGGTCAGATATACAGGAAAGAAAAAGGGGTGATCGCAGCATTTCGGAAATGAACATCTTAACCCAGGACCAACCAGTGTGTCAGTATTTCTACATTATTTCAGAGGAAGCCTAATGTGAATTTGAACTAATAAAAAAAGTGTAGTGATCTCAGAGTTGTAAACATATCAAATATATATTTAATTCCTATAGATATTCTTATTCATTAATTATTAATCCCTTTCTTTTTATATTTTGTTATCAATTGTCCAATACTATTCTAATAATTACTCATGATGTATTGTGAAAAAGTAAGAAACTCAATTCATATTTTGAAGATGATTCTAGGATGACTCTCTTGTGTAAATAAAAAAAGGGATAAACTGACTTTGTGTCACTAACATCGCTGGCTTTACTAATTGTTTTTATTTTTTTATTGCTATAATCATGTTATTTGTTTTTTGTGCACAGTGAAATGGTTGGTGCCCCCATTATTTTAATACCAACATTAGCATTCAGAGTGAAAACAGACACCTGCTGTGGCGTTTGAAGATTGGATGCACCTGCCACACAATGCTGGGCTGTATTCTGTTAGTCAGGAAAAAAATATCGGCACAGAAATTGGAAATGAAGGAGCAGACCGATGATACATAGCAGGGTGTGGGCAGGGTGCGGGAAAAAGAGCGCGAGTTAAGCAGTTGACTGACAAGCAAATAAGCAGATCACTTAACACCTCTCTTTATCAGTCACACTCTTTCCTCCTCTTTTGCACCTTACTTTGACTCTGAGTTATAAAATATGTAATTCTTTCCTCATTTCTGAGCTCCTTCTTTATTCAAACTATGTGTGTACATCTCAACCTGATGTCAATTCTAGTATGATTCCACATGAATACATTTAATTAAAAAGGTTCTGGTTGTTTCAAAGACAAATCATCTCTGAGGATGATCTAATACATTAATATCCAAACATTGCACACAAAAAGAATGCAACATTAACACTGGGACTCGAGCTGTCACAACATTAATACTGGCACTGTGTGACCTTTTTATGTTCTAGAAAGCTAGAAATATGAGTTTATTTTTCTGTTTCTTAACTCAAACCACTGAGTAATATCTGTGAATGTCCCTCCTCTCCTTCAGGTGCAGACCACCACCATGTGTATCTCTGTCAGTCTGAGTGGGTCGGTGGTGCTGGGCTGCCTCTTCGCTCCCAAGGTCCACATCATCTTGTTCCAGCCGCAGAAGAATGTCAGCTCTCTCAGAGTGGCCACCACCCGTTTCAGCGTCACCACCGGCCAAGGCTCCAGTTTCTCTCAAGGTAACACTTAACATACAACAACATGATCATAGTTACTGCCAAGCTTATAACCAAAACAAATAAAAACAATCCTCAGAACTTAACTGAGATGTGATGTTATATCATTATTTATGACTACTCTATAACTATAGTAAGCACCTTTCCTTCAAAACTTTGTATAAATCATGCTCAAAACAAATCAGACATTTTTACATTTGAAATAAACATTTGGAAATGTACGCAAGATAAAATACAGAACCTTGTTCCAGTGAAGTGTAATTTGTAGGAATCACTCAGCGTTATAATAATAATAATAATAATAATAACTTGGATTTCTATAGCGCCTTTCATGATACCCGAGGTCGCTTTACAAGTTATGCTGTGTATTGTGATATATTGTTAAATATTGCGATTAATTACCTTTCTTCAACTCCAATTCATGCAGTTTGACTCCATCTTATCAGTCCCATCTAGTGGACTAAAAAAGCAAATGATACCAAAAAGTTGAATCCGTATTTTCAATATTTAATAAAATAATGTTACTTGGCATCTTTGCAAATAATATTGTGATACTTTACTGTATCGATTTTTCGCTTCACTCCTAACGATTTCTAAAAAAATATATAAAAAAACGACTTTTGTTTCTAATAAATTATTTAGAAAATGTGATATTGACAGATATGACTACAAATCAACATAATTTGTATAATTGATTACTTGATTATCAACTGCTGAATAGCTAAGTGGAAATGAAATGGCCAGGGCAAGTGGAATATGTTATTTTCTGTATCTGTATTGTTTTTGTAAATATAAATAACAATTTGTTTAATGGTTTTCAGCATCAGCCTCCAATGTTGTTCCAACTGTGTGTAACGGACGAGAAGTAGTGGACTCCACAACGTCCTCCTTGTGAAGATCAACACAATTCCTTTGCCAAGCATTGTAAAGAGTTATTTAATCACTAGTCCTGAATCAGGTGTCTCAAATATTAAAGAGGTCATACAGACCATCGTCCTGACTTTGTTGTCCTCAAAGTACTGTGAGTACAATGTCCTGATTATTTTATTTTGTTCTTTGACTCGTAGCAATTGAAATGAGATGCCAATAACGTTGCATATAGCCCTTGTTTTTATTGAAGATTCTACTTGCAACAATGGAGTAAATTATAGTAAATCTGTTAAATGTAATATATACAAGACGTTTTTAATGTAGATTTTGGTGAACCAGTTTGTGCTTTCTTGTAATTTATGTAAATAAAATGTGTTTTTTATTAATATCAAAGTTACTTTCAGTCTGCCTTATTACTTGTACACCATCATGAGATGCATATTCCAGATGATGGGATATACAAAAATGGTTTGAGATTTGCTTGGCTTGACCTGTAAACATTGAGACAAATGTAAAAATCTGGTAGTCAGATGTGCTAACATTCTGTCGTTGTTAAGTTGTCATTTGCACTTTCTTACCTGCTGCTGCAATAAAGTTAATATCTGTAGTTTGCAAGATTAACTGCACAGAAAACAGATTACTTTACACTTTAGTACTTTGTCTCTCATTCAAACACTCACATCAATCATACACTGATGATGAGAGAACTGCAAGCCTAAGTGTTGACCTGGCCAAATTAGCGTCTTGCTTATGAACACTCCTACTGTGTGGACAAAGGGAGCAGGGGATCAAACCATCAACTGTCTAAAGAGTATAACGCCTGCTCCTGAGCTGCAGTCCGAAAATGTGTGGAAAAGGTGGAATTAAGATAGTCAGGTGCACATTTCAACTGGAGATTTGGTTTGAATTCCAAGCTGTCTAATATCAAATTCAATCTACACCATCTGCCAAAACCAAACAGTCTCTGCATGAAAATTACCAGCCCAAATATCATCATCTGCTGATGGGGGATAAAACCGACCAAAGCTGTCTGAGGATATCCACAGCAGTAAGTACCTCTGAGTGCATGAGGCAGATGCTTTGGAAAATAGACTTGAACAGCATCTTAACACTGCCATCTTGTGTCCAAATCATTGATCTAATATTGCACATTGCAACATGTAGACAGCCTTGGGGCCTGCTGTAAAAAGACTATTTGCATATGGAGGAAGTGGACGGATAATTCGAGCATTGTCTTATCTCATTATTTCTGCCCGGTGGCCATCATTAAATGACTGTTATTATATAAGCCAGGTACAACATGTCCTGCAACAACTGCTTTGCTGTTAGGAACAAAAGTGTAAACTTCCGTGTTAAGGTTAAAGAAAGAGCCCCACCATATTAACTTAATATTTAAAGACATAATTATGAAAATATTTTTTGTGAGGAATTTGACTAACTAGATTTCACAGTATTTATGTGCGTTAGACACAGTTCATGTCAGCAGTCCTGGTATTTTCATTTATTAGGAGTCCCCCTCAACATGCAATTCTACATTGCATGATCTAATGAAGTCAATGTCATGATACATGAAACTGCAATGGGAAACGTAGCAAAGAACACCACATATGATTATACATTGCGTAAATGTTATACGCAATGTTATATGTTATATATATATATGTACAATATATTTACTAACTCAGACTTTATATGAATTTTCCAAATAGGCCTACAGTAAAAGATAGACACTTCCCAGCTGTGCATTAATCACACTTCTGAGTTGTGGTCTTTGATTTGTTTGTGAATTAATTGAGTTCTGTTTTCAACTGAAATTAACAGTGATTGTAGCCTACAATGAGACAATATCTTTAGGAACATCCAATACATGTGCTTAAATGATAGGTCAAATATGGTATTATAATATTTAAGAATATACAAAAATGAAGTGTGGTCAACGATATGTATAGTTTTAATAGTATTAATATTAATATAATGATAAACTGATAGCCTTAATGGAGGAAAACATTGGTTTTATCATCAAAACAAGCTCTATTGCTCTATTGTGACTTGTGGATCAGATCTGTTACCCTGCTACTTAGCTTGTTAGTGTGAAAGGTTTTGAGGGGACAATACATACTGAGATAAGCTAGGTGGCGGTAGCTGTTAGCTAGCTCTGCAGTTTCCCCGCAGCAGCAAGAAAATACAGTGGAGCTCCACCTCTTCCTCTGACGGTGAAGAGTCTCTAAACTTCCCGAAAACCTGACTCAGTCCGGCAGCTCAGCAGCCCTCCAGTCGTCCCGTGAAAGCTTCACAAGAGACGAGACTCTGCTTTCTCTCCCGTCTGACACTATTTCAAGTTAAAAGGTGAGTTATTTCCTGAAGGAAATTCTGCTTTCCTTGTTCGGAATAAACAAGATGGCACACCCACTATCGCTTTCTTTTACCAAAAAAGTACTGTTTTATCATCTTGATTTGCTTTACATTTAAAAGTACATAGTCAATATCTACTCAGTAGGTTCATGCATGGATGACAATGCATTCATTTGCTATGATTGACAGCCAGAGAGTGCCCACTGTAGACATGTCTGAGCTTGTCCTGGCATCAGGCCGAGACTCAGCATGGCAAGTTTCTCCTCAGGGTTTTCAGCTAGGATCATGCCCCCAAAGAGACGAGCTACTTCTGCTGCTAAGACAGGTGGAAAGAAGGTAAAACAAGAGCCCGAGACACCAGCGCCCAAAGATGCCTTCACCTCTACAAAAGAGGCCCTTCTGGCTGCAGGGTCACAGGTGAAATGCAACAGGAAGGTGGATGATCTCTGCTCAGTGTCCGGAGAGGTAAGTCAAATAATATATACTTTTCACTTAACTCAGAATGCTAACTGCAAATCACTTTTAATCAAAACATATATAATTTGTTTTCACCAGGTACACGATGACTATGACTGCATGCTCAATCAGACCAACATCGGGCATAACAATAACAAGTTTTATGTCAATCAATTGATTAAAGGAACCAAGCAATACTATACATGGAACAGATGGGGTAGAGTGGTAAGTTTGTCCTGCAAGACATTCCTACTAAATTACCTTTTTTGACTTTATTCAGTTTTGCTGATTTATTATATTTTAAATATTACTAACAACTTTACTTTTACTCTGGGTTTCTTATCTTTTAGTTTTCTTCATTTTGTTATATAAAAGCAATGTTGCCCTGATTGCCTCATGTCTAATCTGAGTCCAGGGGGAAGGTGGACAATCCAAACTCAACACGTTTGATAATCTTGAAAAGGCTGTCAAGGACTTTGAAAAAAAGTTTAAGGACAAGACCAAGAACAACTGGAGCGATCGGGCAAATTTTGTTTCTCACCCTGGGAAGTACACCCTGATTGAGGTGGATGGAGAGCAGGATGCTGAGGTCAAGGTAACCATAATGTACCTTCACTGGAACAAGGAGCATTGCTTATAAAACGTCCTTGAGATGCAGTCATCAGGGACATTTTATAATCATTATCTGCCTTGGCAAAATCTCACTGGCTCTGCTTTTTATAATTGCAGGTGGACACTGTTGATGGAAAGAAGGTCAAAGTCACAAAAAATGTCCAACCTTGCAGCCTTGACAACCCCACCAAGAAGCTTATCGAGCTTATTTTCAGCAATGACATGTTCAAAGAGGCGATGGAATGCATGAACCTAGGTGGGTGTGGCATAGATTACTTAGCATGAAATATAAACCTGTCTGTCAAGTCTGCTAAAGTTCAGTGTTCTGTACCACATGTTGGGCTTTGAAACTAGATGGAATTCAAAGAATATGCAAAATCTCTGTGATTTTTGCATAGTATCTTGTTAGCTACATTTTAGTGTTGCTTAGATGTACATTAAGAAAACTAGGAGTCCATAATGTGACATGTTAATGATTGACCTTTGCAACCAACTGAGGGTGAAGTCTACATTTACACAATGCATCACTTTTAACTCAGCATTAGCCGTGCCTTGTGCTTTGCTAACAATGTTTATGTCATTTAATTGTTTCTTTTAATACTTGGAGGTAGTGAAGGTAACATTTGCACCTTTATAAAATAAGCAAAACAAACAGTGTGAGATTACTTTTCTTAACCCTTAGATGTGATTGGACCCTACACTTCCATAAGTGGGTCAAAAAGGACTTGTATTATATTTTGGTTCACACTAGAAATATTTAATATTTAATTTTTCACTATTTATAATTTTAGACATTTTCTTTACATTTTGAAAAAAAACAAATGCATAGAAAATACATGCGGGTCATTTTTGACCCACTTATGGAAGCTTGGGGTAGTAATACAAAAACTACAATTTCTTAAAATTTAAATTAAAAATTTGAATGGCATGACATCCAAAACATGTTTTTTGAGGAATAGCTGGAATATGAAATGATAACAACATGTAATTACAAAGATACTTCAAGAAAACCACCTCACCGGGTCAAATAGACCCACTTACAGTATGCATCTAAGGGTTAAGAAAATATAAAATAATAACACAGATTTGTTTTTTTTGTGTGTGTGTTTGTTTATGCGTGCATGTGTGTGTTTGCGTGCGCGCGTGTGAATGCGTGGATGGTACAAAGACATCAAGAAGATGCCTTTGGGCAAACTCAGTAAAATTCAGATTGCAAAGGGCTTCGAAGTGTTGGAGGAGATTGAGGCAGCCATGAACAAAAAAAGCAGAAACACAAGACTGGAAGAACTCTCTTCGAAATTCTTCACCACAATCCCTCACAACTTTGGCCGGAACAGACCGCCAACCATCGACGACAAAGAGATTGTGAACCAGAAGAAGGAGATGCTCATGGTGAGATGTATCTTTATATAATATTCTGGAAAAAACGTTTTGGTGTTTGCTCCGTCCCAAAGTAACTCTCCTTTTACATGTACTGTAAAGGTGCTGGCTGACATAGAGATCGCCCAAAATCTGAAGTCAGAGACTGAAAAGTCTCAGGAAGAGATGATAGAGGAAGTTCCTCACCCTCTAGACCAGGACTACAGTTCTCTCAAATGCCATCTCACTCTAATGGACAACAAATCAGATGCATTCAAGGTACTGTCATAGTGATATTAAGGTTTAGTGAATACAAAGCACTTAAACCATGTTCCAATGTCTGATCATGTGTCCGCTTGTCAAACTGTATTTCCTTTTTCTCATTTAAAGATCATAGAAAAATACCTGAAAGCAACTAATAGCAACCCCAAAATTGTCAATGTTTGGGTTGTTGATCGAGAGATAGAGGTAGGAATTGGAGTCAATCAAGTTTATTGTAACATAGGAGACTGAAATCCTCTGACCTAATGCATACGTTGCACATTGCAGGGAGAGAGGTTTAAGGAGCATGATGATCTGGAGAACCGCCGTCTTCTGTGGCACGGTACAAACATAGCGGTGGTGGCAGCTATTCTGAAGAGCGGTCTGAGGATAATGCCCCATTCAGGAGGCCGTGTTGGTAGCGGTATCTATTTTGCGTCCGAAAACAGCAAATCTGCAGTTTACGGTGAGTCTGTATGAAAAATGCAGGGATTGAAAGAGATGAGGATTAAATGAATTGCAATCATTACAAATGACATTTTCTGCCATTTTCTTTTTAGTGCGTGCCTCTAAAAATACTGGAGTGATGTTTTTGAGTGAGGTAGCCCTGGGCAAAGAACATACCATCACTAAAGACAACTGCTCCTTGAAGAAGGCCCCTGCCGGCTTTGACAGTGTGGTGGCGCGAGGGTCTGTGGAGCCAGGTACTAATCCTAAAATGAAAGAGAGAGCTACAGGTTTTTTGTGTCTCAAGAAAAGCTCAAGATTATTTGGGTTTTGCACAACTACTCATGAGAAACATGCTCACAGGAAACACATATATGTCATTATCAATATGTATTACAAAAATGAGAACCACTGTGTTATGAAATCATGCAACATCTTTTGTTTGGTTATTTTCTGTGTTTTCAGATCCATCCAAGGACACCTTCATCACCCTGGAGGGAAAGCAGGTTGCTGTGCCTCAGGGTGAGCCTTTAGATCAGCCCCAGTTCAAAAACAGCCACTTCAGCAACAGTGAATATCTCATCTACAAAGAGAGCCAGTGTCGCCTTCGCTACCTGCTGGAGCTTAAAATGTATTAACTCCACTCAAGGAAAGAAGTTCTTGATTCCCTCTATATACAGTAAAGGGCTTTCAAGAAGCTTGGCTTTCTGTTTTCCTGTAATAATAATAATAATTATTATTATTATATGGTTTTTTGCTTTACTATTACACCTATTACTGGTGCAAATGTCTCCATTTGATTCCTAAATGACTTCTCTGTGCCTTATATATTGCACTCTGTATAACTGTTCTGAGTACTTAAGACTGCACTACTGTTATTTCACATGGTGCAATGAAGCAATTTACTTTTTTACTTCTCTAAGATGCCTCTATATATTTGCACAGTTTTGTTAGAAATAACATGATGCACATTATGTTATATTTGCCATCTTCTTCTAGTTTGAGTAGTTTATGCATTATTTAATCCAAGTAGAAATGCTTATATAAACCTGTCCCGAGAGAGAAAATATCCGTAAGGATTTTGCCGCATGCCTTTGCAACTTTAGACATTTTGAGTAATGTTAAATGGTAGAGTAGAAAAACGATACTCTATCCATAGATATGTTTACAGTTAGTGAAGTTCAATGTGTGGCTAATGCTCAATCACTGCTACCAGTCTAATATTGAAAGAAAGAATCTGTGTTGCAAAGTAACACGTCATGAAAAGCTTGATCAATGTCTTGAAGGTCTCCTGGCTATGGTACAAATGCAGCCATGTGGTGTCAGTAATGAGCAAGTCCATTTGGAATGTAAATGCATTTTTGCACTAAGACATTACTTAAACCAATGATAAGTAAATTAAACAAAATTGTGCCTGCAATGTGTTGAAGTTTTTTTTCCTTCTGCTTGATTAACCTAAATACTTAGATATTTGTGTCTAGTGCTATTGGTTTTCCGGTGTGCCGCGTTATATGGTAGTCATTGTTTGCTAACAAATTTTTCATATAAGAATATGTCGCTGGATGGCATTCAATAAAAGGCAAAATAACTTATTTGCATAGTAATAGTAATACTTATTGAAACAGATGGTGGTGTGAACATATACAAAATAGTCTTGAAGATACAAAACATGGTAAAATGATCAACTTCACACTTTCTATCCCTTAGGAGATTTGTCTTGACCTCAACATAAAGGCTACCATATAGAAAAACATTGTGACAGATGTAATGTGCGTACCAGAAGAGTGGCAACAAAGAGGCCATTCAACATTCAACACACTCCTCGTTTCACACCTTCCTTACCTTACTGAGTTTAGAAGATTCCCTGATAGAGGGGTGAAAGAGTTTTATATCCATCCAGTCATCATTAACCCTATAGCGTCTTCCTGATGGGAGCAGTTTGTAATCTGATTACAGGACACGGGAGGTGATCATTTTTCAAGTCTTTTGATGCAATAGTGCATTTTTAAAAATGCATTTCATTGCTGTGAGGAGCAGTTTGTTTATTTGTAATATGAGCTTAACTGATATATTACGGAACTAATGTGCGGGCATGTAACATAATATACTGTCTAATATTACAGCATTATAAAAATACCATAACTATCAAACCCCCAAAAAGTCAAATATGTGCAAGAAGTGACAAACTAAAATGTGATTTTTATGTGACATACTACGCTATGATTTTTTATTAGATATTAAGAACTGCTGGAATGATGCTTAAAGTCATTTGAATATAATGAACCCAGAATGGGAAATCTCATTATAAATAATATGTAGAATTCAAATAACAATACTGCCTTATACCCTTTGGAGGAGAAGAGTAAAAAAAAATGATATTAAGCACATGGAAATATTAAAAAGATTTGCGTTTAATCTTCCTTTTAATCTTCCCTTTCTTCAACACCAGACGTTGTTTGTGGTTCCTGAAATTCCTGAGTTATTGGCTCCTTAGAATAGACATTTTGGTAACTGCTCATAAAAACAGGTATTTGGTTTAGAAAACCATTGACCTGAAATAGATGCAACTGGCATGCCTATTTTGTGACTGCAAAAGTCTAAACATGACTTATTGTCAGTAGAGAAGTGCCGTTTTACCTATTGTTACAGCTGTCTCTGGTTTCAGTAAATACACTACAGCTAAGATGTGGAGCTGCATGGCTGCCAGGGGAAACATGATCTGTCCTTTAACGGGCGGACATTAGGACCCAGGGGAGGCTGGGCTCTAGTAGGGAGACAGTGGAGTGTGTGTCTATTTGAAAGCAAAAAAAAACACAATACAATGTGTGCCTGTCACTGCCATACACAGCACAGGACAGGAATAAGAGGAGGAGGGGTGAGGAGAGAGGGGAAGCATCATGTACCATCAAAAAACATCATGGAACCAGTTCTTCTTCAACTGGAGATAACAATGGTGATGCGTCTGGACCTCTGGAGGACCCTCTATACTGAATAACTAAACCTCACACACTGAATTATCTGGATTTGATGAATTTTCAGCTGGAAGACTGACTTTTTTTCTTTCTGGAAAATACATTAATCAAGCTGGGTTTAGCCCAGTGTATCTAAACAAAAAGTGGGAATTTAACAGTAGCTTTGTGAAGTCAAACACCTGGTCAACCTGTTAAGTGTGAATTGAAACACACAAACACAGAGTGAATCATGGGTAAGTACATTTATGCATAATCAGAATATTTTTTTATGCTGAATATGTTTTAATCTAGACAGAATGTACTTTTGTGTGTTTACCACTCAATGAGATCTGAAGGGATGAATATCAGCCTCCCAGATAGGTTAAATGTCCCACAATTGTTAAGACTGATTCTTAAAAATGAATTGATTTAACTGCAACAATTTATGTCCAGGAACAATTTGTGACAAAGTTTAAAATGGCTTTTTTTTTTCAAACTGCATTAACAATGGGTTCAGAGCTTTTTAAGACAGGTGAAAGCTGCACTTTGTAACCTGTCAGCGCTCTGAAAGAAAGTAAATAAATGTATTTTCTCCAATATAAATTGTTGTAGAGTTTCTCAAAAGAGAATTCACAGATGTATTGTCACACAAAAATATATATTAGACCCCAGTTGGCTAACATGTCATTGCTTTTTGTCCTCACAACTCTTATCTTTAACATCAGTGTTGAATGGCCCTCAAGGGGAGACAATAGAACAATTGTAGTCTTGCTGTATTCTACTGTAAACAGTTTCCAATTTACCCATAAGTGTATCTGTTTACACTCAAAACGTGTAGGCACACTTCAGTTTTTTTATTAAGCACTTAAAAAGTCTGAACCACCTAAAACATGTTTTTTTAAATAACTGCTTTTGGTCTACTCAACACAGGACATCCAAATATGGCGACATCAGAGATGGAAGCGGAGGTTGTGAATACATGATGGCCGCCAACACCGGTCTGATGATAGCCTCTGTGCCACATCACTCAGTGACAAATCTAAACACCACCCAAACGGAGCCCAATCCTACGGTCCCTGCTGACCTGGGCGTCGTCACCAGCTCCCAGTCACAGATCAAAGACCTTTTCGGGTTGTTCTGCATGGTGACCCTTAACCTCATTGCTTTGTTGGCCAACACTGGAGTGATGGTGGCCATCGCTCGTGCTCCTCACCTGAAGAGGTTTGCTTTTGTGTGTCACCTTTGTGCAGTGGACCTGCTGTGTGCCATCCTCCTCATGCCCTTGGGTATCATATCCAGTTCGGCGTTCTTTGGCACCGTGGTGTTTACCGTCCTGGAGTGTCAGGTTTACATTTTTCTCAATGTTTTCCTCATCTGTCTCTCCATTCTCACCATCACAGCCATCAGTGTGGAGCGTTACTTTTATATCGTACACCCCATGCGTTATGAAGTCAAGATGACCATTAACCTCGCTATTGGTGTCATGCTCCTGATCTGGGTGAAGTCAGTCCTCTTAGCTATGGTCCCACTTTTCGGATGGCCAGCTTATGGACCTCAGAGCTCTATTGCCGCAGCTCACTGCTCTCTCCACGCGAGCCACAGTCGTCTAAGAAGTGTATTTTCTGTGCTCTTTAGTGTGGCTTGTTTTCTGTTTCCTGCAGTAGTCATTTTTGGTGTTTACGGTGCCGTGTACAAGGTAGCTCGCTCCGCAGCGCTGCAGCAAGTCCCTGCTGTGCCGGCGTGGGCAAATGCAAGCCTTGCTAAAAATCGCTCAGACTCCATCAACAGCCAGACTACCATGATCGCCACCACACGCTCTCTGCCCCAAAGACTGTCTCCTGAGAGGGCCTTCAGTGGAGGAAAGGCTGCCCTAACATTGGTATTAATTGTTGGACAGTTCTTTGTTTGTTGGTTACCCTACTTCATCTTCCACATGCAAATGTCTCTCACTGGTTCCATGAAAAGCCCCGGGGACTTGGAGGAGGCAGTCACTTGGCTGGCCTATTCCTCTTTTGCCATCAACCCGTTCTTTTACGGCCTCTTGAACAGGCAGATCAGAGAAGAGCTGGTTAAGTTCCGACGTTGCTGCTTGACCCAGCCAGCAGATTTTGGGACATCTAGCCACGAAGGCTCCCTTCAGGAGAATTTCCTCCAGTTCATCCAGAGAACCAGCAGCAGCAAAGCTGAAACCCCGTCCAGCTGCGCCAACTCAAATCCGGGAAACACTACGGACCAGGGGGTTAAGATCCCTGGACAAATTCCTGAAGAGCAGGCTTAGACATTGACCAACAAGGGTGATGGACCACAGTGCTAATATAAAGGACATGTTGTTTTTTATGTAAGCAGGACATTTTCATATTGGATAGCTTCATAATCTAAGAAATGTAAGATGATTTAAACGTTGAAATGATTATTGATCACTGGAATACCTTCTCCTATCCATTCTGGCAACAATGAGGTCATTTCTTCAATAATTTTATATTTTATGATACAAATAAAGAACTCATATTTCATGAGTGACTGGAGTTGGTCTCATATTGCATCATATGCAATGTGACCCTTGCACAAGAATCCATTGATATTTATATTAAAATGATCCCTTCTTTTAACTGAAGTGATGGAGGTCAACATTCCAAGTCATTGTTTGTTGCAAAAACTTGATTTGTCTGCTGAAGCCATTACATCCAGTTAATATTAATGGTATTTCTTAAATAATATACATCCATAAAGTCTTTGGAAAGGCGTAGAATAAAAGTATTGCTTTGCCTGAAATAAAAAATATTAAGATTGTTAATCGATTATTTTAAGCATGTTGTCAGGTCCAAAATGTATGTTTTGTTTCTTTTCATTCTACAATTCAGGGAGGCTTTTTTTTTTCATTTTAGGTCAATGTGCTATGATTTTACTGAAACATGAACTATTGAAATAGACATGATCCCTTGTGCTTATTTTCTAATTGTATTTCAATTAGCCTGGTTTTATTGATGTTTGGATGAAGGTTGTTTATGAAAATCTGAAGTGTAACCAAAATAACAAGGTTATAATTGAAGGGATATTAAAATGATATATTGCCTTTAACTTATGGGAATAATTTGTATTCCATATAAACATGGGTTGCTTCCACTGCATCCTTGTTTTTGTGTCAAAACAAACATGTATATTCAAATGTTATAGAGTCACCATGACAAACCAAGACTAGAAACTAACATGTAGGTAAATGTTGGATGTAAATGAAGTATTGCTAACACAAAGGCTTCTGCAGTGTGGCACGCTCTCATGAATCTGAGGGACAATACCCAGAGTTCCTGCGCGCAACAGATATGCTGATTGACGGCGATTGTCATTCGCCCCTGTCGTCATGGAAATTAAGTGAGCCTGCGACTCACATAGCAACGAGCACCTTTAGGCAGGAAATATTCTTATGGATGTATAGCTCTGAATCCTGATTGGAGTCTGTCTGCCAATGTAT